CTCTCTGTGTTCTCTGTCCCTGAGTTTTATTGAAGACTGACATTTTTCACTGGAATCAGTCAGATTCTGTGCTGTTTCTTTTGTGTGCAGTGGTGTTGGTCAGCGCGGCACGCGTTGCACTGTATCTTACAGCAAAGCTGGGAGATTTGTTCAAAGATGATCCGTGTTGATCTGTTTCTGAAGAGATGTGAAACCATGGAGACCATGGAAACCGCTCGGCTCTGCCGCATCCTTGTTCAGCGGCTGCCACGGGAGCCTGGCAGCATGTGCTGCCTGGGCAGGGGAAGGAGCCCAGGTCCCTGGGCAGCCCTGCTGGCCCCAGGGCTGCCTGCGTCAGGGGAGGAGAGAACTGCTGGCTGACTTCTGGGGCACCTGGGAGCGCGCCTGGGAGACAAAGCGTGCGTCACGCTGGAAGGTGGTAGTGGAAACTGTGAAAATCCTAGAGGATGATTAGCATACCTGGCTCTTTGTTGTCCCTCCTGGGCCACATCGTGGCCCAACAGACGTACCTGTGAAATAGTGGGGAGTGGAAGTATTAATATTCCCAGCGCCCCACATGAGAACGATGCCTACCCAATCTTCTGGCCTGAGCCCAGAGGGGAATTGTTGTTAACAAGTGCAAAGGTTTCATGCTCCGAAAGGACAGCTTTCCTTATGATCTGAGAGTGATACTGTAGGGACTGACTGTTTCCCCACCTATCCTGCCTACCAGCTGCCATGAAGAACTTCAGCAGAAGGCCTGGTTTATTGACTAATCATTTGCAGTTGTTTTAACGGGTGTCTGCACTTCCCTCTGAAGGGAAAGAAGTGGCAGTGAATCCCTCCAAGCCACGACTCCAAAGCATCTCATTGGCTCTTAAACAGGAGAGAGGTCAATGGAAGTGCGGTGCTCTGGATGAGCAGTGCATTGTCACACCTTTTGGGGCGAGGCAGGGCTCCGGCAGTTCCTGTAAGCCATCATTACGTTCATGAGCATTTTATAATAACCCCTTATCATCTGTTGTTAGTCAGGACATACCAGGACCTCCCACGGGAAAAGTGCAGGTTTCTATTACTTACTGTTTGCAAACCCCTTGTCTTAGGAGAGAAGAACCACTGAACAAACACAGTGCAGTGACCAGATTGAGATCCCAGACTGCCAGATGGGCACTCGTATGCTCTTATCCTTTTGGATAGAGAAGCATGGCCCACTATAGCCATTGGCATCACACACAGCAGGTATGATGGGCCAGAGGGGCAGAGAGCTTACGCAGCCAAGAGCTAGTGCAGGGATGTTGAAATGTCTTCTTTTCATAGCCTCCCCCAATCCTATGTAAAATGAAAATTCTGTCATCCTCAGTGGATTTAACCTGTACCCCCCCCTTATTCCTTGATGTTGATTCTTTTTTTCTTGGATGACCACACCAAATACAGTACTAGTTCTTTCGTACTGCTTGTGTGTTGTGTTTCTTTCCGTCCATCAGGGTGTGGGTGGACAAGCATTCACACTCTGAATCCTTTATGAGGGAGAAGGGATATCTTGCCCAGGTTTAGGCAGTCATGTAGCGTTGCATGTCTTCATGTTGTTGGACAACAAAAGTAGTGTGTCCCTGCGCCTGTAGGTGAGTTCTGCTCTCTCTGTTTAGTATGAAGAAACCAAGACTTGGAGGCACTTGCCATACTCACATGAGGACAGTCTGATCCTGTTTCCACTAATGTCAAAGGAAGCAAGAGCTGACCTTGACTCAGTCATGAAGTGGGAGTTTCTTCCTTTTCTGTCATCAGCTTACAGTGAACTCCAAGCCAAACTGTTTCCTTTTCAGAAGCAACATTCAGATACGTTACTATGAAAACTGTTTATCTTTCTTCATCCTGGCCAAGTGTTCATTTGTTTGAACAAAAGGGTGTTCTCATCGCGAGGAATACAGCAGTGCCTGAGGTTTGGCATGAAGCGTATTAGTGTTTTAGTGTAGTGGGAAAGTGCAAAATTTGGTTGTGTGTGAAGCATACGACAAGATTCATAATGAAGCGATTGGGGAAAACAAAACACAACCCACATACATGACTCAAGCTGCTTCTTTGAGTAAAGCCCTAAACGTTTACTTTTAGGCCGTATTCTTTAATGTAGTGGTGGTGGTGAATATAGTTGCAGTGGTGTGTTCAGCTGATGTAACATAAGCAGTTTTCTCTACCAAAAAAAATCTCTTCGAACACATCAGGTGGCTACTTGTGCGTGTGACTCCGAAGTGTGGGAATACAGCAGTAATTAGATCAAGTGTGTTGCAGCATGCTTTTTCTTACATTAGATGTGACTCTTTTTCTCTCTCTCTCTCTCTTTCAGACTTAACCAACATAATGACTGCTGAATATTAAGGGAAAACACAAGAAGGTTACATGTTTGGTTGTCTAATATTCTTGGATTTGATATGAGTCGCCACATCTGTTCATTAGTATCATCAACAGCATCCCAGTTTGTATGCACATTATTCACATTCCTATCTGTTGTGTTTGCAGAAATGACATTTTACCCTTTTTTCTAAGGGTTACTTTTTGATTTTCATATTATTTGGTTGCATGAAGTTGCCCTTTACCAGTGGCTGAGGTTTATGAAGATACCGCATACTTGAACATGGTTTAGATTCCTTTTCTAGATAGAAAAGGTGTAACTCCAAATTATATCATTCTAAATCAGCATTTTTTCAAAAACAAGTAAATCTTAGTAATTAGTCCCCTCCATACGATACTACAATATCTTCCACGTACAAACATAGTTTTAAATTTCCCTATATCCATCCTTTCTTGATTTTTGATCAGTTTACAACATAAAAGAAAAATTCTTCTTCAGTTGAGATCACCGCCAAGTTCAATAATGTAATAAAATACCTTTCCTTATTAGAAGTACCTAGCTAGTTATACTCTTAATACTTCTCAAAATCATGATGTAATGTACACTATCTGACTTAGTTCCTATATGTGGAGTTAGTGAAAGTCTTTTTGTGTTTCTTTAGATTAATACAAGGATTTTTTCCAATGCCAACACAATTTGAAATCATTCATTTGGATGCTTTCCATTTTTAAGCTTACTGTGATATAGAACCCTATGGGAAACCAAAAGAAAACATCAATTTTAAATAATGAAAGGCTTAAAAAAGGATGCTGTCATTCTGGCTTTTTTTTTCCTTTTGGAAATAGAACTAGACTAGTAAGTAAGCATTCCAAATCCATTATTCTGTGTACATTATTGTTGCTATTGTGATAATAGAGATTTTTATTTATTTTTATGCCAGCTTTTATTGTGAAAACATATTTAGTCTGGTTTTATCAATCCTTGTTATGCTTGTCCTTGGAACATCTTTTGCGTATTCAAGGTTTGTAGTTGACGAGTTTACTGTAAAAAACTAAAAAAAAAACACAACAAAAAAACTAAAAAGAAAACAAAAAAGAAAACAAAAAAATGTATTGTTTTTACAGAATAAATTTATTGGAATGTGTATTGGGAGTAAGGTTTGAGGTTGTAAGCAACTAAGTTAGCGTCATATTTGGCTTCATACGTGTAATAATGTGAGGTATTAATGTAAGTCAAGTATTAAAGCAAAACATTCTGTTAACATGAGTTGACCATAATAGATACAAGTGCAGGTGAGATCTTTATTTTTTCTGTACTTCGCCTTTTCTGGATAACAGGAGGTTATTAAATTCACCTTGAATGTATTCAAAGTTTCTTTGAAAACATTAGAAGTAACATCGGAGGCTCAAATATCTGTTTGAGAGCCAGCATGTCCTACTACAGCCGACAGCTCGGGGTTTGTTTTCTTGGGAGGACGTACTGGGATGAAGCTGTCCCGAATTCTAGCGTACGTGGAAGGGGTCCACGCCAGGGAGGCTGAGCGCTGGAGGAAATCATTGCTGAGTTCCTTTTTGCCAAGAAGCATTGACTGATATGTGTTACGGTTGTTTTGGACCTGCCCCTTTGGCTGGAGGTACAAGCCCCTGGGTTCTCTCTTCTGAGCACTGCTGTGAGCTACACCTCAGTGTTCAACAGGAGGTGTTACTGCAGGAATTTCTTGCTGCTCCGAAAGCCCCCTTGTGCAGGGTGCAACACGCATGTGCGTGAGCTGATGCCTTCTTGTTACTGACGAGGTTTAAAAAGACAACTAAAATTCTCTAAATCAAAACACCAGAAGTCAATATCCCAAAATAAGGTGTTTCCAGTTAAAATGCATTGGCTAATTTCATCTGTGAGAAAGGCACTAGATGTACTTCTTTTAGTATAAATACACTCAGAAGTCATAAAAATAGTTGTAATTGCAAACAGAGACATAAACTACACAAACCAAGGTTGCTGTATTTGCTGCTACTTGTTTGTGACCCGACAGCATTAGCAAAAGTAGCTGCAGAGAAGAGCATAGCCAAAACCCTCCTTTCTGAAAAAGCGTGCTACGGCGTAAGGCCTGACTGTTCAAGGTAATGAGCCCTCCGTGCCCAGTGCAGAAGTGCCCGTAGGCACGTGCTTAACGTCAGAGCAGACGAGCAGTCCTTGCAGAAGTGAATCCTTAAAGGAATTAACAAAACTATATCATTTGCTTATCATCTGTGGAGTCTTACCATAAGAGTTGATTGCTTCTTAAAAGATTTCTTGGGATTTTTAATAAGGCTGACCCACAAGACATACTTTTTGACAAATAAAACATGTGCATGTGACAGAGTTATGTATGTTAATTTTTCTTCACATTCTACAGTAGCTCTGTGTAGGGATTGCTAGCTCTGATATTCTTCAGTTCGTGGAGGCTAAACACTGACATCATTATTATTATTTAACTTCATGCAGTATTTCTGAAACTGTCAAAGCAGCTTGCTTAAAAATAGCTATGTGAACCAGCAACTCCACTGCAGCGCAAAGTCAAAGTGTTGAGAAGTGGTACTGAAGGCAGTCGTCTTTATTTTCCCTTTTGAGTAGGATAAACAAAACAGACCGTGCAACTTTACACAATTGTGCAATTTTACACATCTTAAACGCTTCATTTGGGTTCCATTTGAGCAGTTCAGTTACATCCCAACCCAATGATATACATAGCCAAAAAGAGGAGCTGAAAGCAGTCGTACTATTCTGTTTTTTCTTCTTGTTTTGTTTTCATAAAAAACTCTGGCTTGTTGACACACCTGTAAGCCAACAGCTGGGGAAGAATCCCATACATTATGTTCAGTATCAGAAAAAACTGTTTTGCTTCCTCAGGGACTCTGTAGATGTAAGGAGTTCGAGCATGAAGAGAAGCACCAATATGGGAAAATTGAGCCTGTGGTGTGTATATAACGTATATATTAAAAAAAGGGTAAGGTTGATGTGTACTTTGGAAAGACAGCATAATGTGCATGCAAGTGTGCATCTCCAGTGACATTTGCCAAGCCAACCCTTTTATTCCAGAATTATCCATCATACTTTTGCACAGCAGTATAAAAATACAGTCTAAACTAAGGTCATTAGTATCTTGGTATACGAGGCAGAAGAGGAACTGTCAGTACCATGGTAGGAGGTTTCTTTTATGCACATGGTGGCACTGATCTTTACGTCAGGTATAAGATTTCACCCTTAGCTTATGGGTGATTATTCCTGCAACAGAGTCCATGATCCTTCCCCAGGCAAATGGCCACTGAAGCGTGCCTCTCCGCCTCAGCCCGGTAGTGGGGGCAGGACTCGCACCCACCTACCTACGAATGTTGTGTTTGGCACCAAGGGAAGCAGACAGACACTCTCTCAAAGTTAGAAAATAAAATCTTGGAAGGTATGTTAGTTTTTTGTTTGTGGGGTTTTTTTTTCTTTAAATCTCAAACCCAGTATTCCAGATTGTGATCCCAGAACTCCTGATGGTTTCAGAAAACATCCGCAATATTTGGCATTTGGGCTGGGGGCGGTTCTGAAGCATAGATTAAGTTTATAGTGAAGGTTATATGCCAAGACAAGCTTGCTGGGCTGAAGCGTATTTTTAGCATAAACAAACATTTAAAGATAGAAGCGTCAGGATAGTCGCTGTCTTTTGTCTCCATCTGTTACCTGCTATTTCAAGCCACAGCTCATTCACATTAACTATTGTGTGTCCAATTTTTTTTTATTATTTAGTTAAGTTTGCAGTGGAAGAGATCTGAGAAGATAGATATCAATTTGATCTTAAGCAGAGCAGGAGAAAGGGACACCAGGATTTTAGTAACGCAGAGGAGTACACAATGGCCAAATCACATCTTCTGTTCT